TTACCTCCTGGTGCCGAGGTGAACATTTGAACTACATTAATTGGATGCTAAAATTGTGTTCCGAAGAACATCTACTCAGAGGTCATTATGGTCATATTACGAAAGCCACACTTACCCTTATCAATTATTCAAACTCTGGGTAGTCTAGGTCATGTACGAAAAAGGAATCTGAAAAGATAAAGATAGCAGAATGAGAGGAGGGCGCCCTTTTTTGTGGCTTGGCTGCTTGCTCTAGAAATCTTTTCCTCTGCTTTGACTTGAAGAGCCCAGCTAAGCCCCTCGAAATTTACAGATCTTGGGTTGTTGTTATGTCTATTTTCTTTTATCTATCAGCACTTTTTTTTTTAAATTTATGAAAACTTGAAATAAAGGTTAACACAGAGAGAAAGCAAAGCATCATATCCTCAATCACTGCTTTCTCCGCTTATGAAAATCCAGGACTTGTCTCCACGATCTGATGCATAGCGTCCCCACTTCCTTTATAACCTGTTCAACACAAAGAACTCACAGGTTACGTTAAGGTTATTCTTGTAAATCTAATTAGACAGAGATGTTCTTAGCTAGGGCAGACGGGATTGCTGTTGCCATGAACTTACAGCCCAGCAGCCGCCAAATTACGCAGGAGAAATCTATTGACAATCATCATAGAAAAATTATATGTTTTCGAGCTCGCTCTTTTACATATGCAATATGCAAACTATATAGATTTTTAATTAGTTGTTTTTAGTGATTATTTCCCCAAAGTTTCTTGTGAAGATAAATTTGAACTTCCACACAGGAGAAAACACCATATTATTGAATTATGCTTCTCTTTTAAAACAAGAAAAACCAAATTCACAATTTTTTTTTAAAAATATCACTCTTTAAGACTGGTAATGAATAATTAATTTGTTAGTTTTCCTTATTAACTAATCATTATTTCAAGTGATGGAAAAACCGTTATAGAGTCAAATAATATATTCAAATATTGGAATTGAAAATACCAATCTCGCCACCCTGATTCTTAACTTGTTTATCATTGGTATGAAATAAAAAGAGAATTTCATATAATAGGAGCGCATGCATTTATCAAGACAGTGATGATCACTCACAGTTATCTTAATAAAATAATCCACGTTTTTATCCTTCTTCGCGCCTGCAACAGTTCATCCTTAACTGGTGGCCAGAAGGAAGGGATTGAAAAAATAATTAAAAAAAAAATACTACGGGATCCAATGTGGATGTTCGAGATAATTGCAATAGACTTCTTCCTGCCCCAATATCTCCTCGTCAATATTCAATTACGTGCTTGTTAAAAAATAAATATATTTATTTTACTTTATTTATTAAAAATAAAGTAATATTTTCAGTTTATATATATATATAGTATTTACATTAATTAAACATTTTAGAATACTATAATTAATAAAACCCTAATTTCTTTTTTGTTAATTTAGATTGCTTTAAATTTGTTCTCAATTATAGAACTCTCTTATCTCTATTTTTTAGTATACAAGAATGCATGATATCCCAACATTATTATTTTTTCTTTCAAGGGATCAAATATAAAAACACATTTGCCAAACACACAGACACACACAGATATATTTTCAAAAGCATAGAGTATGGTTGCGGCTTTGAAGTTTGCAGATAATTTGTCCTTAATGGTGGCCGCAATGGCGACCAAAGGAAAAGAAAGCGATTCTTACCTTTATGTTTTGTCCAGTCTCCTCCATGGTGACGTGCCAGTTGATCTCTTCTTTTGAAATGGGAGAAAAGAAAGACAAACGAATGCATGGTTAAAAGCAATTTCTGCGTAAAAGTTTTCACACACAGGTGCTCTAATCCAGTCTCCATTAATATCATCTCTATCTTTTTTTTCTTCTTTTAGCCTTTCAGGTCCAATTCCTATTCTTAAGGTGCCGGCTGAGGTCATTGATTAAGTTGGTAATTAAAAACTTCACATAAAAAATAAGGCTTTTCATGGTTTATTATGGAATTGGACCAAGATCGATGCATACTGAGCTCTGCTGTGTGTGAAAGTTTTGAAAAAGCAAGTCATTTAAGTTAGTATTTATATATGGGGGAGAAAATAGTGCATACAAAGAAAAATAAGACTACGTAGTGGGTACATATATGGCTCTAAAAAAATTTGACCCGTTTGCTTGGCGAGACTGAGTTTATTCATGCACATAACTTCAAATTTTTTCATGAAAAAGAAAATCATGTCATTGACCAACTAAAATGATTCATTGTTTGTGAAACACTGTCCTTAGAAGAGAATCATGTGTTTAATATGATTGGAGAAAAAGTTAATGTGTCATCGATCTGTAACGAGATATATATATTTATTTTCATTGGTTTTAATATGAGATTGTAAGTGAAACATAGTTACTGGTTATAAAAAAGAACATCTGTATTGCAAGAAGTTTGCGTGTAACATGTAAAATTGTCAATGTTGAGGAAAATAGTGTGGGAGAAAAAAATAGACAATGAGAAAACATAAACAAAAAAAAGGGTTGATTGCTTGGCCACACTAATCATCCAAGCCTAACTTTAGGTTTGATTTGGAGACGAGGAGAAAACCATGTTTTTAAAAATTTTATTTTGTTTTTTATAATTTTTAGATTGTTTTAGTGTATTAATATTAAAATAAATTTTTAAAAATAAAAAAATTATTTTAATATATTTTTAAATAAAAAATACTTTAAATTATTATTCACGTCATAATTACAAATAAATTACTGATGACTAGCAAAGCTATTTGAACCAGCTCAAAATAACCCAACTTTTTATTTTTTAACATCAGGTAGCCAACAAGGACTTTGCATTGCGTCACCTCGAAATCACGCATATAAATAAAATGTACATGCATAATATATATATTATTGACTATTATTTATAAATCTCGTTCAAGGCCTACACCTTGTCAAACTTATCAAGAGATTATCATGGACAAGGCTCTATGTAGAAATTAATCAAATCAAATCAATTATTTTTATTAAAATAATAATATTAATTTTTTTTTTGTGTTAATCCACTTGAGATCCTAGGTTCTGGCATATCAAATCTTCATCATTAAAAAGTAGGATTAACTAGATTTTACCATATTAAATATTGTCCAATTCAATTAAAAATTCTATTTGAGTTGGACTTAAAGATCCTAAATTTCTCGTGGTAACCCAAAACTAAGTTGAGTTTAACCAACATACAATATATAATGTTTAAAACTGACTTTTTAGGTTATAATATTAAAAACTTAGCTATTATGTTTTTATAATATGGTTTAATAAAAAAAGATTTACTATGGCGAATAAACAAGTTAGAATATTTAAATAGTCTTATTATTTAATTATTTTTGAATTTGAAAAAACCTCATCATCTAGAAAATATATTTTATAAGTTTAGATGAGAAAGTAAAATTTTGATTATTCTAAATTCTTACAAAAAAATATATATTTTAATTCAAACTCAAGATTTATTACATAAATTTTTAGTTTTTTATCATCATGTCATATCCTTGACCACATCACCTAAAGACTCTTATTACTTAATGCTCAAGCTATTTCATTGATTCATAAGCACCTAATCAGTGAAAGCGCTCGATTTAGAGATTAATTGGAATTCTAGTAGTTTATATATAATTTTTTTCAATTACAAAGAAAGAATTATTTTATTAGTTAAATAGTTTTTATCTTCTATATTAGACTCATAAATAATTACATTTGAAACTTGATTTTATAAAATTTTAAATAATACATATATTTATTTATTTTACATGTAAAAATTTAACTCACTAATTTTAACCAAATATATTTTCTTAAAACTGTTCTTAAAAATATTTTTTAAATCTATATTTTTATATATGCAACTTCAAAAACAACCGCACCTTCCGTGGAATTACCCGTTTCGTTTTCACACAGGATCTTATTGCTTCCTGTTTGCTATTATTAGGTCACATGGATGAAAGACGAGCACTGCAAATCTTGATTAGTCTGAAACCCTGATAAATTTCTTCCACGTGTAAGAGAAAGACAACATCTGCGAATAAAAAAGATTTCATGATGCATAATTAGTCATTCCATGGGCCCTTAAACAAAGACTAACCTACGGATCATTCTAGTAGATAAATATAAGCAACAACATATATATATATATATATATATATATATATATAGCGCTTTATGCTAATTGCCTTGATTAATATAACTTAATTATCATGCCGCTTCAAATCAAAATGCTAATAGTTAAACATATATGATTAGTCAAATGTGTAACAATAAAAAGTAAGAAGCAAACAAATTAACCCCGTCCACCTGGCAAAAAGCTAGAATTGTCTTTTGAATGCGTGATCTCCGCGATTGGTATTGTTGAAACATGACATATACCTAGAAATCATATATATAATTTTATTTTATTTTATTTTTATGAATGAATGATTATCATTGATCAAAGGGGGGAAAAACCACGCTTTATTTTAAATGTTTTCGGAGCCGAGGGTTTACTGTTCCAATGCATAAGCAGCAGTTGCTGGGTGTCTATTGCCACCTATTCCTACATGTCCAGTGCATGCAAAATATATATGCTATAGCAATCTTTCCTCTCATGTTTAAGTGGGCTGGTTTCTCTTGTTATAGTCTACATATATGTAAATAAATAAATAAAAAATGTAAGAGGAAGAAGCAATATACGTACATTGAATGGATTGAGTAATTAATTACTCCTTTTCTTTCAAATATTTGAGTGTAAAACTTGATCACCACGCTTGTGTCTTATGCTATTTCCATGATTTTTAATAGGTTTCGGGGAGACTTTTTAATCCGCGTTGTTAAACTCATTCCAGTTTAATAAATTGACTAGACCTGTTGATCTAGAATAATTTTTTAATTCAATTAAATAAAGAATTGATTCCGTTGAAATCTAATTTGATTTCAAAAAAAAAATATTCAAAGCATCGTTATTCTTTAATTTTTGTTTTAAATTATTCAAAACATCGTTATTCTTTAATTTTTGTTTTAAATTCACCATCACCAAACGATGTCGTCCAGGTTTCTTCCATTTCAATACTTCAATTTTTCTGGAACTTCAATTCAAGCTGCCCGATGCAGAATTTTTTGTGTAGTTCATTTATTTCGATTTCTATCAATTAATAAATGTCTTAGGGAAGTGTTCATATAAATATCTGAGATGATTTAGATTGGCATTAGAAATTAGTCAATTGAACCAGAAAAATCGCAACACATATACTTCATTTCAATTTACGCTAGTTATGATACCTGAAAATGAGGTGATCCATCATATTTTACTCTTTTCTGTGATGTTTTGGTGAGCTGATGTCGAACAATTATCATTCCTATTCCTGTGCAGTGTGTAATTGTCTGTCTCGCTGTCAATTGACTATGTGTCTGATTTTACAGTCTAACTCCATGTCGCTTCGAGAATTTGGTGCTGCTGTGTCAGTCTTGCTTGGTTTTGTGCCATCGGATGCACTCTCAGCTGCTAGTTCATTGAAGGTCATTTGGAATAACATGCTTTGCAGGCTTAAATTATATAGTTTATATTATTGTTTGTGGGAATTGTTGATTCTGATAAATGTTGTTGTTGTACAACTCATTACCTGAACTTTAAACTAATAAAATTTAATAATTTTGCTTGTAAGGTCTGTTTAGGAGGAGGGAGTATGAATGGGGATCGATGAACGAGGGGATGAGTTAGAAATGTTTCCATTGTTGGGTATGCTAAATGGAGATGCAAGTAAAGGTAGGAAGGATCCCTCCTATTATTCCTCACTTGCATCAGCACGATAAAATGGCAGGCCAAAAAGATAAACCATGGATATCTTCGCAGATATAGCTATCCTTTCTCTAATTTTTTTACGAATATTGTCAACTTTATGATTAATGCTTGTCAATTTATGTAGATTTCTCTTGATCACCTTTTAAAATAGTTATTAAACTTGATTGCATGATTTTATCCTGTGCAAATTCCAGTTCATGAATTAAACAAGTTGATCTAAATTATTTAAAAAAAAATTAAAAATTAAATTGAGTTTTGATTGGTTTGATCTAATTAAATTAAATTGACTTTTTTATACCAAGCCAAGCCAAGGAGTAGGTTTTTCAGGTCTTCAATCAACCTATCAAACCAAATCAGATTAAATAATTATAATCTCAGTTTTTTTTAATGTTCTCTTGCCCAATCCGTTTAACAGGCCTCGTGCTGTTTTCATGCTGGAAGTCACTGAAGGTTAGGGTCTCTGGTATTGTTGTTTGATTTGTTTTCTTTTGTTGACCTAGTACTTGAGCGAATTATCTTTGCATGCAGAGCTTCCGTCTGTGGCTGATCAAGCAAATGTAATATTCAATGCTGCCTACAAGAGCAAGATTGTTCCTGGTTCAAATAAAGCTGATATTCAACTTCCAGGTGCCGATGCGCAATATACGTGAATAATAGAAAGACTTGTTTTGTTAATGTGACTATTTATTGTTTTTTGAATCAATGGATTGTGAATTTTGATAATTATTTTTTTTCATTTTCCATAATCTGTTTCAGGTGAAGAGGTTTTAGTGGTTTCTCTCGATGAAGAATTTGTGGATTTCACTGACGAGGATTTAAGTGATTTTGTAAGTCTTGACTTGTATTTAGCCCCTGTCATTGCCTTTTCCTGTGTTATTGATCATTTTGCTTAAATGTGTGACACTGGCGTTATGTGTTTGTTCAGGCATCTTGGTTGGGTGGATCATATGCTGTTGATCCCTTGGAAGCACTGAAGGGAGAATTAGCAATCCCACTGGCTAGTGGTGCCACTATAAATCTTCATATGTCTAAGGTCTGTTATTTGTTATAAATATTGCATTTTAGATCCTTTCATTTTATAATTTTCAAACTTTTATTGGAAGATTTACATTTTGATTGTTTGCAGAAAGCAAACAGGGAATTCATAGCAAGTCTTCTAGCTTTGCTCCACAATAGTAGAAAAGCTGTTGAGATGCATGGAGATGTGTCACTGAGCAATCAACCACCTGCAGAGTTATTGAAGGGCAGTTTTGATGGCCTTAAGGTGATGATATCCACGTATAGTGAATGGAATGAGCTTGATTGCATCCTTTTGAATGATTGCAAATTGGAACCTCTCACCAACTCATTTCTTTATTCAATGAAATCATATTTCTTTAATGCCCCAGTCTAACTACGAAGCGGTAAGCTCATGACTTATTTTATTTATCACATTTGCAGGCTTTGCAGGAGCATTATGGACCCGAGGGTGTTGCACAGAAAGGGCTAGAGCTATTAATTACTATGTTGTCCAAGATGTTTGATTCATTGCAAGCAGCTTACAAAGGTTGGTTGTTTGGGTTTTTGGGAATCACCAACACAATCTTAAGCTGAAATGTTGTTGTTTTCATGCAAATGATAGGTGAAAAGAGTGGCAGTCTAATTTATCTTATCAGTGCTTGCAATCATTTGCCCCACTGTAGATTTCTTATTTTGTTTGCATGAACATAGCAGGGTTTTTAAATCAACAAAAATATAGAATTTAAGCTAACTTTGGGGGTATCGCATTGGTGTTTCCAACCTGTATTTGTGATTAACATGTGCTTCATTTTTTTTTCCTTTTAGTACTTGTTGTTCCCTAGCTTATTGCTGAACCTGAAAATTTTATGGCTGTGTTACAAAATTGAATGGTAATTGGGCAGGTCAAATTGTCGGAGCAATCCTTTTTAATACAGCAACTGCACCAGAATCAGAAACATTGCTGAATGTCATGTTGACTTCCCGGCCATCTGCACGTTGGTTGGAAGAAACAAAAGTGCCCACTAATGAAACCATTGCAGAAGTGGTCTTGGTTAGAATCACCCTTGCTTGGATTACTGGAATTGTTCTTATCATTGCTACTCTTTTGGGGGTAAGATTTTGTAACAACAAAATACTTGCACCTTTTTTTCCTCTAATTAATTTAGTAACACTGAAAATTTAGATTGTGCTAATTATCATCTCTGATTGCTCCCTATCCCTGCCTCTTTTTCTCTTTATCTATTCTCTTACATTTTTGTAGGCAGAAAAAATCTAGATCACTAACTAGTAAAATGATGAGTTGCCTTGCATGTGACTTCTAGGCTTGGAGAAGGAAAAGGAGGGGAGTGGATTGAATAGCTATCCCATCCACGAACCTTTTTATAGAATAATTTACACAAATGATCCATATTTCTTGTGATGTTGCTGAGTTTAGGACTAGATTCTGCATAAGGTGCCTGATTCATTACTCTCATAAGTTACATGGATAGAACAGCTCATCATGTGAGATAGAACCTAGACAAGCATCCGAAGACCGTGGCAATTTAAAAGTCTGCTGATCTTTTTGGTTTTCTCAATTTCATCTGTTTTATTAATCTTTCAAATCAATCACAGATAGAATCCATATTCCTATAGTTCATAGGCATCCATGGCAAAACAAGGCTTTCAGGCAATTCGATGGAAGGAGAACCTTAAAAAATGTGTATTTAGTTTGCCTAGAATACACATCTTAATTACCAAAATCTCTCTCTCTCTCTCGCTCTCATTATAAACAGCGTTTCTTGGTTTGTTCTTTTGGTTGCAGATCTACTTTCTCTTCAGCATGCCACTCACAAAGGACACCCTTTTGTATTCCAACGTCAAGCTGGACTAAGCTGAAAGGAAGCTGATCGATCTTCTGACTGCTGGGAGTGATGCAGTGGATATGGCTTATTTGTAGATGTCTTGTTGTAAACAAACCTACTCCTTGGTTGTTGTGTTGCATTGAGAAGGTTTCCAGCGAATCAGATGCTTGCATCACAGGCATGTGTAGCTACTTGACCAAGGGTGTAGAGGCTTACAAGAAAACCCGTTGGTCGATGCGAAGTCCTTTCATATACAGTAGTAGGTACACTGTAAACCCCGTTCGAGGAGATAAAAAATGCGGAGCAACAATATCATTGTGCAATCTTGTCTTTTCGTTTCTGAAGTTGTTTGTCATAATCTACGTGCATTTGTTGAATAAGGAGGATGCCATCAGGATTTGTACTTGTAGTTAATCATTAATACTCTCTCCAGTTTTTGAATAAAGGAAACTTCCCTCGTTTCGTTCCTTGCGTGCTGGGGCATCAAAATACTGTGAGCTCCCTTTAGGCAGGAGGAGGAGGAGCCAGCCCTAAGTTCATGGTTTTCAGTCGAACCAAACCACCTGTTTGTTTGTTTGTTGTTGTGATTGAAGAAGAAGCACAAAAATATCATTAATCCTCTTTCCAGCTTTCATTTCCATTCTCTCACCCTCTCCTAAATAGATCAGATAAATAATAATAATAATTATAATAATAATAACGAGAATGCCGTCTTGTTCTGCCTTTCCTCTGCCTCTAAACCCTAAATCTCTCTTCACAAACCATCTCGTGCTCTCTCCCCGCTCCAATTCTCCAAACACGCAACTGTACTACCTACCGGCTAACACTACTCTCACGCTATCTTTCAAATTTCATGTGGCTCCTAGATGAACAGCGGTGGCTACTCGAAGATGGAAGATTGAATCGCTCCTTGCCGAAATACATTCCTTAAAAGCTTCAAATTGAAGCTGAAGAAGCTCTAGATCGTTTCTTCAAGTGGGAGAGAGAAGATGATGATAATAATAATAATAATAATAATAATAATAATAATTCAGATTCCTTTATAACATCATCACTCTCATAAGCCTTCATTCACCTTCACCAACTGACAAGACCTCAATAATAATTTCAAGAGTCTTTTCCCCAAAAGACAACGATAATTTTCATGTGGTAGACGATTGTAAACATCAACTTTAATATTTTTATAATAAATATCTTAATAAAATCATCCCTCCTATTTTTTCTCTTCAATTTCAATTTGTTCCATAAAATTTGCAAAAGACAAAATAATTTTATGAATTTATACAAACTCAGTCGAAATAACTCATAATCATGATATGGATAACTCTTCCATAATTATATATTTCAAAATGAAGATTTTAAATGTCTTTAACCTATCAAAATTGAAACCAAAATCTTCATGTATAAAAGAGATTTTCTCAAAACTCTCAATCTTCTGGATGCAGTTATCTTGACTATTAACGAACATGATCGAATACTCTTTACCTATAAAATTATAATCATGCTTGGTTTATTTATTTTGATAAAAGTTGTCCAAAGAATTTTTTAACATCGTTTTCAAACAAATGGTGGAGATACTTTTCTTCAACATTTGAAATTCTACCTCAAAAGATTTAGGAAGTCTTGGATCTATTTGCACCAAAAAAAACTTTGAAAACATGTTCCTGCGGTCCTTTGGATTTTATGTTGAGATTTCATAATAATGCTTGATGAAAAAAATGATATTACCCAAATCTCATGAGAGATATCAAAGGTAAAATGGTGGCCACAATTCAATATAGACTTAGCCTACTCTCAATTAGTTCAATTATGGATATAGTCTACCCAAGACCAAATTACATCATCATCCTCATCCTGGCCAGTATATATTTTTAACATCAAAAAGCAAAATTCAAGTTGACCTTGCATCTTCCAGTACTGAATCTCAATATAAAATGAAATTTCAAGAAACCCTATCACAAATTTAAAGTTTCTATGAAAAAGACGATCCTACCCTATCACAAATTTAAGGTTCCTATAAAAAAGAATATCCTACCCTAGCCAATGAGATGAGGATACATGTTATGATCCCGATATGATAAGGTAATTATATGAAGTTCCTATGAAAAAGAAGATCCTACCCTAGCCAATGAGGATACATGTTTTGATCCCGATATGATAAGGTAATTATATGAATTTTAGACTCATCAAACAAGTCAATAATTCAAATTCCTCTATCACATCACTTGTAACATCATCATCCACTTGACAATCCGACAAAACCTCGATAATAATTTCAAGATTTTTTCCCCTCAAAAGACAACATTAACATTCATGTAGAAGACAACCGTCGGCATCAACTTTAATAATTTTCAGTTGCAATGTTTACCTCTTCCACCTCGCTATAAGAGTCATGGTCAACAATGATCATCCATGACTTCTTCACAATTCAAGCAATTTCTAATTTTGTTTCAAGTCTGAGTGCTCAACTGTATATATTTAATGTTTATTGTTCGAAAGACACTGTTTTTAGAGTTAAATTCTATTGATCCGCCTTGTAATGATCCCAATCATCCTGTAAAATATTGCTCTTTCTCAATCATCCTGCAAACTGAAATCAGAGTCCTCTGGTTAACCAGGCATGACAAATTGTGTTATCAAAGTATTTTAACAGGTTGGTCGACATCGAAAATAAGAGTTCGAAAGTTCTATGGGCTTGCCAAACAGGTGGTTGGCAGTAGCCTGACCTCGTTAACCCTATTAACCTAACATATGCTGTACGGTTGAGCTGCATTTGCTTCTGTGAGAAGCATAGGAGCTGGAGGGCCAGTCATCACAGCTCGAGAGCTTCACACGAGACCACCACTCTCATCAGAGTTAATAGCGGCACAACAAAGACAGGTAATTGTCATAATTTCATGAAACCCAATCCTAGTCAGGCCATCGAGGTAAATCACTCTTTTTTTCGAATGAATCAAGGCATACATAGACAGCTGATCCGAGCAATCTACCTGGGCCACCGTTTTAGCAAACAGGAAACTCCCTTTATAAACAGCAGCAGAGCTTTTGACAGCAACGTAAATGTCAATAAAAAGATCTACCTACTCAAAACACTGGTTCTGAGATAGTAGTTTGTATCCACCATAAAGGGTATGGGTGCCAATCCAAAATAAGACATGTATTACTTCGGCAATAAATTACTTTTCTGTAATAGAAACAGAGCTACCAGGCTTACAACATCCTATAATGAAATAAATTTTATTGGTGAGAAATCTTTCTTATATTTGCTTGCATATAATGATTTTCCTGTGACCTTGTTTGGATTTTCTTTTTGAGCTGATATTTTTACAGATTTGTTTTTGGTTTGCCACTTGCAGTAACACGCCTTGTCACTGAACGCATGGTCACAAATTCCTCAGCGGCAGATGGGTGTATTCCCACCTGTGGAACAAAAAAGAAAAGGAAAAAAACTCATCAGCAATACACAATCCAAAATGAGTACAGCCGGATTACCCAGAAATCTAAAGAGCGATTATCCTTTTACACATCACCAACTGAGCACATGCTACCATAAACAGCAAGGAATATATATATATATATATATATTGATGCACAAAGATGTCATCGCTTCTACATGTATTGTGTGTGTGTGTGTGTGTGAACTATTAAACAAGAAGAGGGGTAATGAAGGGGGAGAGCTAACAATTCAAGGACATGGCCACCCATAAGCAAAGAGTGGGTATATCATGATGTGAATGCCAGCATTTACAATTTAACACCCACATCACTTACATATTATTGATTAGACCACAACATAATCAGTTCTATGTTCCTTACAAGAACGTGTCAAGGGATGCTAGGAAAGGAAAGAATCACTAAGATCCTTATCTTTAGCCTCTCTAAGGGAAAGTTAATTAATACTTACAGTACTGTCAAATTGTTGCTTGGTTGCTCCACACTTCAATGCAACAGCAATACCCTGTGAAATCACCAAAGAACAATGACCAGGGCGTGCATGAATAACCAAAACCAAAAAATGTAGGACAAAAAACTGGAATAGGGAAGGGGGTGCTTTCGGCAATGAAATTATGTTAAGCAAATGCAAAGTACTCCCTACACAGGTTATTCATGAAATGAATCGGAAAACACACACCTGCATAATTTCAGGTGCATCTGGCCCACACATGGAAGCTCCGAGAACTTTATCCGTCTCAGCATCAACAACAAGCTTCATTATTGTCTTCTCTTGTCGACTAGAAACAAAGATGAGATCGTACATATTAATTAGAAAGCATAGGAAACACAGAGAACACCTCGCAATTAAGGTAAAAAGGGGCAGGCTTGACTACTACCCTGAATTATGAAAAACATCCCAAACCATCTATGCTTTATGGCTTTCATGGTTTTATCACACCCTTTATCTTAACTCATAAACATCTATCGATCCTTCATTGTTTAAACATTTCCTTTTAAAGGAGGAAACTCCTTTTTCAGACCAGGGAAATTTAGTTAAAAAAGAACGAGGAAAACTGGTTTCACGAAAATGAACAATATGAGGATGCCTTGAGCACTGAAGAAGTGTCAGGTGTTGTTAACATGTAATGTAAAGATGGTTCAATCAATCAACAGAAAGACTTCTATCAGAAAGTAAAGATGTTTGAAGTCTATCTGCTTTAGAGATTTAAGGTACAGATACAACAAACTTCCAGGACCTCTTTAAGAGATACTCTCTACTTATTGGCCAGTTTAAGTTTACAAATAATTTCTCACTTTTAAGTTTCCAAAGGAAATGTTTTGACCCCTACTTCTTTCATGTCATTTTGCAAGTGATGTTCCAAAGTTTTCCATAATGCTAACTGCTTGTTTGTAACACTACAGACCAATTTAGCAACATAAGATCTCAAATTTCAGTACATACCCAGAGATAGTGTTCTTCATAGGATTAAAGGTAGAAGTGAAAACCAACACATCACCATTGGCTTGGTCTAATGCCTGCTCCTCGCTGAGCCCCACTACAGAGAGAGGAGGAATGCTGCAGAATACCAAATAGCACATTTTATTCACCCATGAAGAGAGATGAACACAAACACTAAATTTTCTCACTTAGACTTCTATGTTCAATGTGTATGACTTAGTCACAGTGAAGCAACAATCTAATGTTATTGTATGTATCAAATGAAGTACCATACAACATTAACCAAATGTTATGTACAAAATATAGGCATTAGATTCCAACAGAGCATGGTATCAGTAAAATAACGGAGTACACAGATAATATGATCATGGAAAGAACATGAATAGACTTGAGGTAATCCCAGTGAAGCAACAAACTGATATGACTACGCATCAAATGGAGTGCCAAATAGCATGTAACAAATATAGGTATCGAATCCCAAAACAGAACATGGCATCAGCAAGATAGGGAGTGAAGAGAGAGATGGTCATGGAAACAACATGCATAGAATAGAGGTATCTCACATAACTAAAA